CTGCTTCTTCGCCCCTTTTCTTTTCCAATTACCAGCCTGCAAAGAGCAAGGCTTCCTGGGAACGGTAGTTCCGCCCAGCTGCTCGCCCGGCGCGCTTCCAGGCTGCCCGCGGTAAAGACTCCATTTCCCAGCACGCTCCGCGCCCAGGGCTTTTTGTTTTTTTTCTCGGCCCGGGGAGGTTTCCCACGCCAGTGACTCTGCTTTTGTCTCCGACGCTGGGAGGTTTTTTTTGGGGGGGGGGAAGTCAAGCCAAGGGCGCCCTCTGGCGGGGAGCCTTCGTTTAGCAGGAGCTGCCCGGGAATTTATTTTTAACCGCAAAACGAGAAAAGTGCGTGAAAGGGGGAAGGAAGTCAAAGGAGGGGAAGTGACAGAGGCAGGACGGAGAAAAGAAAGAAGAAGGGGGAAAGCAGAGGAAGAAGAGAGACATCAGGAAAGAAAAAGAGGGAAGGGGGGGAAAAAAGGAAGGAAGGAAGAATGGAAATATTTTTTTTATGCCAGAACCAAAATCTGCAACTAATCCACAAAGTTTAAAGTGAGAAAAAAAGTAGGTCGTTTATTAAATCCATATTTTGCAGAGGCCTCCCATAAACCCAGTCTAATGTTGGGCCAATGTCAGGGAAATCAAATTTGGGGGCAGATTGAGCCAAGACCGTGTGTGAGCCTCCAAGCAGAAAAAGTTGCAGAGGACCAGGAGGGGAAAAAAAAAAAACACCATGAAAACGTTCAGCAAGAAGCAATTGCCTCCCAGGGAGATGCCCTTTTTCTAAAATATGCTGCGGTTCTCCTCCTGTGATCCAAGGGCCCGAAATTACAGATCAGCCTGGGATGAACACTGACAATCTCAACTAAGAGGACCACAAACTTTGTGCAATGCGAGGCTAGCCGCTGAAATGAGGATTATTTTATTATTTATTTTATTTATTTTATTAAATTTATATCCCGCCCTTCTCCTTACGGACTCAGGGCGGCTAACAATCAGATAAAATACGTTCCTTTTAGTCATCCTTCCTCCGGTGAGGAATTCTGGGAGTTGGAAGTCCACAAGTCTTCCAGTGGCCGAGTTTGAAGGCCACTGCAGTCAATGCAATACGGTCTTGGCAAATTGTTACCGCTGGAGTTAAAGCAGGAGGTGGTTAAGTGTGAATGCAGCCTGATAAAAGAAATTGGAACCCAGTGCCGGCTGGCGACCCCCAGGGGGAGGGCCTTCTCAGTGGGAGCCCCCACCCTCTGGAACGAACTACCCCCAGAGATCCAGGTGATCCCGGATCTCCCCTCCTTCCGCCGCGCCCTCAAGACATGGCTTTTTCAACAAGCGCCAAACCGGATCCCTTAAAATCACCCCAAAAATTCCCCATTAAAATTCCCATTAAAATTGCTAACCGGAAATGCTTATAAAAGAAAATTAAACCAAAATTATACCTATAAATAACATTACAACAAAATATTCCGACAATCGGCGGGACTCAGGCCACTCCTCTTCCCGCCCTATGAAATTAAATTATAAATAAAATAAAATAAAGTTCCACGGAGAATTCGAAGCATTGGCCCCCTACACTGTGAAAACCATAATGTCAGTCTGTATTAAGTCTTGTCTTTGGAAGCTAAGGTGTTGTTGTTTTTCTCCCCGCCACCTGCTTTTCTTCTTACGTTGCGTCTTTTCAAATCATGAGGTGCCTTAATGTATGCCATTCAGCAATACAGTCTCAACATTTGCAAGGTCCAGGGTCATACACAACAGAAAGCTTGCAGGGGAAACAGCATCTCAAGGATAAAAGCTTATCTAAAAGCCCTAGTTTTCTACGTGAAAGGAGGTGCTTTGAGATGAGGGCTACCGTCCAGATGCCGTTTGGCCAGGATTCCCCTGCGCTTGCAATCCAACTTCCAAGGGTTTTTCTGACGAACCGGTGAAAACTGACTTTGTCTCCTCCAGGGGTTGCTATATATAATTGGGCCTTTCAGCCAAGATTAAAAACGAACGGAATTTTAAAAGAATTAAATGAGAACAAAGACGAGAGTGCCACTGAGAAATTAGAGAGGGCAATTTTGGACCGGTTTATGAGCCTGATGTACGGTAGGGAGGTGATATCATACAACGTGGCTTACTAGGAAAAGAAGTTATTTTGTCCTTGCCATCTGCCTTTCAAACGACCATAAACCCGTATTATAAATTTGGCCTCTTTTTCGATCGCCTTCCCTTTTTTTTGAAGCATCGAGCTTCTCTGCATTTGGAGATCCAAATATTAGCTTCGCTGTTGCTGCCCGCAATGGCCCAGGCGATTTGACTTTGTCTGGACTCAAATGAGCCAGTCGCCTTTGCAGCTCAAGGCATTTGCAATTACCTTCTCCAGCGCTTCTAAAGAATCCGCAAAGGAGAAGAAGGGGGGGAAAAAAAAAAAGCCCTCTCTTTTGTCCTGCAAGCTTTTGAAGATGCTTTGGGCTTTTGTTGCAAACGGAGTGGACCCATCCTTCCCTATACTTAGAACAGCAGAAATGCCAAGTTAGCTTTTCCTCGGCCATTAAGCAGAATTGCTGTTTGGCTCCTAGCAAGCATGGCTGAAATTACCATGGAGCCCTTCATCTGCTCCTCTCAATGGGCCTGGCCAACAACTGGCTATAAATATGACAAGATAAACCCATCTCACTGTCATTCTGAAATATTGATCCACTCTACAAGCTGGAGCTGGCTTGGACTTCGCTTGCCTGGGGCTTGATTTTTGTAGCTTAGTCACTTGGGCTTCAGTTGCCACTGGAAAGGCAGAAAGAAGAAAGAAGAAAGAAAGAAAGAAAGAAAGAAAGAAAGAAAGAAAGAAAGAAAGAAAGAAAGAAAGAAAGAAAGAAAGAGGAAGGAAGGAAGGAAGGAAGGAAGGAAGGAAGGAAGGAAAGTCCCAATTGTTGTCAGTCTATGAATATGTAAAGGGCTTCCTTTAAAAAAAACATTATTTATGATGTAAAATAGGGCATCCTGTGGCCTACAATGGAAAAGCTGTAGCTCAAAGGATTTCCAAGATGGCAGATGATTAGCAAGAGTTTGCCTGAGAATGTACGAAGTGTCAAGCCTTATATTTTAGAGTGTGCCTCTCTATTCATGTCACCCAGTTTTCACACAGGAGCAAGTTTGCATCATGACATCAAGCTATGATTTATCTAAGCATGGTTGATTAAATAAACCAGTTAGCTGAATTGACACATCAAAAATATAAAGGGTAATTTACCAACCATTGTGATATCCACCAAAAACAGCAAGACAAAGCAAACCGTGTTATGAGAAGGGCTCATCTCTACAGAGACTCAAGCCATGTTCTCGTGCACACTAAAACCAACATTCCAACATTTTTGCAGTAACAGAAGAACGAACAGCTGCCCTAGCGAAATATACGAAATATACGTGGATGTGTTTTGTTTAACGTTCCAGTTGTTCAGCAGACTTTAAAAACAAAAAAAAATCGCATCCTTTTACAGCCTGAGCTATACATTATTTAAGATCCAGCATGAGGAAGAGATCCAGGGAACTTTAAAAAGTGTGTTGCTAGTTTTGTGAGGGTCCTAAATCAATAAACGGGGCCCGAAGTGGCATTTCCCCCAAAACGGCCAAATGCCATTTCCATTAAACTTCTTTTAGTATTTCAAAAAAACTGCTCCTCTTGGGAGGGAAGAGACAGAAAGCTGAAAGACATTGGGCATTAACCAAAGCCATTATTTTGGTCAACCATGGTTTGGTGCATAAGCCAGTTTTTGGCTAGAGAGTCCCACAAACCAAAACACCAGAGTATGCACTTCCAAGGGGCTGGGATCGGGCAACTTGCTCAAGCCAACCCTTAACAGCAATTGCAGGACGCTAGAGTGAATCTGTGCCTCCAAAGCACCCCGTGGCCAACAGAAGCTAGTAGTCCGAGCTTCGAGTAGAATCACCAGGCTCGGGAGCAGTCTATCCGCCAAACCTCCCTCTCTCTGCTTGGGAAAAACCCTGAGACTTCAGTCCTTGTCTTCTCCCGGGGGGAACTTTGAAGGAAGCCTACTCCGGTCTCCGGGACTACCCTAAGGCATCATCCCGGGGGCCGGCGCCTTTCGCCCCTTGCATCCATCCGCCTTCCCTCCCCTCCCTTTAGCCCTTCAACGTCCGGCCCCCTTTCTCCCACCGCCTCCCCTTTCCTTCCTAGTTCAGCTCCGCCCAGCTCCGCATCCTTCATTCCCTTCTCCAAACTGCCAAACTGTTTTTCCTTCTCCTTGGCGTGCCTTCCACGCTTTCCACTGCCCCCCACCCACCCACCCAGCTTACCCTCGCTGGGGGGCTCCAGCAATCCAGGAAGGAACCGCAGCAGCCTGGGGGAGAATCCCGGTGGGTTTCCTAAGTCAGTTTCCCGGTCAGTTTCCTATTTTCCCCTTCTTCTTCTTCTTCTTCTTCTCCTCCTCCTCCTGTTGCAAACTGAGACGAGACGGGCTGAGGGGTGGGAAGAGGGAGCAAGCCTCCCCAAACCTTTTAGAAACGGAATTGGTTCATTCTTCTTCCCGTTTCTCCCACCAGAAAGGATTGCATATGGATCCCAGCAGTCAAGAAACTTTCACCTTCCCGGTTTGCTAGCTTTGATTCGGACGGCACTTTCTATTTTTTTATTTATTTATTTTTTTAAAAACAACAACAACAAACAAACTCCTCTTCTGCAGCCCCAAAGTTTCTGGAGTTTTATTTGCACACCTGGATCTGGGTGAGGAGGGGGGGGGGAGAGAACATTCCAGCCAAGAAGCCAAGATTTTAGAAGAAGAAAAAAGAGAATCTCCTTCCATTTTTCTTTTCTGTGTTTTTTTTTTCCCCTCTCTCTCTCTCTCTCTCTCTCTCTCTCAACTCCAAAGCTTGGCCGGAGATACTTTTTTTTTTTTTTTGACTGAAGCCAACCCATGCCTTTTTCCTTTTCCTCCGGGCACAGGGGGGTGAGAATTGCCCGGCCTGCCAACCAGGAGGAAGAAGATTGAACAAGTTCTCTTTTCACACACACACACACACACACACACCCCCGAAGCTTTCAGGAAAAGAACATCTTCTCTCGCCTTGCCGGAGTCCAAGCCAGATGGCAGACTGGTGAGAAAGAAGAAAACGGAAGGGGAAAAAGAAAGAAAAAAAAGGAAAGAGAGAAAGAGGGGGGGGGAGGAAGAGAAGTCTCCACAGGTTTCCAAGATGGGCACTGCCCTTTGTGGCAGAAGGCAGAAAGGTCTGTTGCAGACTGGCTTTTGCCTCTTGGCGCTGGCCTGCCTGGGCTCCGGAGTCCTCCTCTACAGCCACCTCCAGCAGAAGGTCAAGGCGGCCGAAGGCTCGGCCTCCAAATTCAGACAGCAACAGGAAGCCCTTTCGGCCCAGCTGCAAGGTGAGGGGGGGGGAAAAA